TATATATATATATATTCGTGGGGAATAACTACCTATATTATAAATAGTGATTATTGTAAAATCTCAGAAAGAGAATGACATAATGAAGGTTTCATGTACATTTGAAGTGCTGAGCGCCCCCTGTAATTTACCTTGACAGCCTTTCTCGGCAGTTAGGTTCTTCTATGGGATTTCAAGATGGCGTCGAGCGGAGGAGAAGGGGAGCACGAATGGACAGCGGCAGTGCGACCGCTTTTATCAGCTTCATACACCGCTTTTGAGACAAAGGAGCTACCTCAGCTTGTTGGCTCTATAATCAACAGGTAACCGGCTCTATGTCATTGTGTTTCTTGTCGTATTTTACCACCAAACCGCCCCTGTTCTCCCCGGACATAGCCTCAGCTTAACTTGCACTGGTAACGAGTTGGTGTCTAAGCCAACATGCTAGCCTCTCTTAACTTGTTCAAAATGCTCTTAGCTGGCACCGACGGGCGCATTATAGACAAATAAAGACGCTAACGTATAAACGATGTAAACGTTTCTTGAATATAGCATTATTGTTTGGTGAGCGTTTGTGTTTAACGTAGTGAAGCATTTTAAAAATATGCTTCATCATTAGCTAGCTAGCAGAGGGCCTTCACCTCTGCACTCGTAATATAGAAACGCCGCTAACAGGGTAATATTGGACTGTGTCAGCTGCTTAAACCCAGCTAACCATGATTTGGTTGCTGGACCGAACTGGTAAGATATGGTCAAACATAGGTTTCGCAACTGTTGTCAAAGTTTAGGTTGAGAATTTGGTCTGTACTGTTATGATTAAGTAGGCGGGGACAGCTTTACTCAACTAGTTTTGTTGGTCAGGTGATTTGCTTCAAACTTGTTTTGTAAAAGCAATACTATGGGGATTCATTGCCAAGAAAGAAATCTAATAAATGGTTGTCAAGAGAGTACAGCTGTTGCTTGACAGGCTGCCACCTGACACGATTTAAGCTACACCGATGCACCTTCAGAGTGAAGAGTTTCGTTTTCCTCAGAACAGAATCGCCAATAAATGCATGACTTCTGCTGTGAGGCTTGTTTGTTTCTAATTCAAACTCTCTCTCTCTCTTTTTTTTTTTTTTACTATTTCTTTTGAGTAGTTGATCTGTTGTGCTGTCTGAGCCCGCAGATGCTCACACCGGACACTAATGATGAGAAATGAAGGAAAGATATTTTGCAACTGATATCTTCATCTCAATATTTACCAATATTGACACCATCACATGATTTTATTATATTTTAAAAGTCTGTGAGGAATCGACCAAAAACATTACAAGATTTGGAAGGGAAATTAAGAGTAGAACTCATTTTAAATAATGTTTATGAATTTGATTTTTTTTACATTGTTTTTTTCTTTTGGTTTAATAAAGTATTTTTGAATTGAATTAAACAAATTGCAGTTCTTTAGCATTTAGGCCATGTTATTTTTCCATTGGTACTGACCCTGCCCAGTTCCATTCAGGTCCATTCAATACAGAACTGGTCTGTTTTATATCGAAAAAAATTGACTGGATGTTATTTTAGGGCCACTTTCTTTTCTCTGTGTAGTGGTGATTGTTTGCCAAGCCAAACATCCAATTAAAGTTCCAATTAAGCCACTAATAAGGCACTGGGCTCAAGTTTCTATACGCAGGCAAAAAGAAGTTTCAATGTCCAGTCTTGATGATGGTTCTGGATGGTTTATTTTCTAATTTGCCAACAATTAAAGAGTAAAAACTTTTCCTTTGTCCTACCTTTCTTGCGCTGGTAAAAACCATAGGCCCCAAACCCAAAATGCCTGCTGATTCTTTCCCAGACCCCTACACTTATAGGAAGTGGACTGATCCACATCACTTCCTGTCATACCTTAGAAATAATAAAACAAATATAAATAGAATAAAAAATGATTAACCTGCAAATAAACTATTTAAATAATACAAAACTATACATTTAGGAATTAACACAATTCAAATGGATAAAAAAATAAATAATACATAACTCCAACACTCTGTAAAGACTACTGCATGGGCTATTACATTTTGGTTTGATTTTATGTGTTTTTGGGGAAATCTATGTCTAAACAGCTGATTGTGTTTGCGAACAGCTGTTTTAGAGAATTAAATACAGTGCACCCCTTGTGTGTGTGATTTAGAAATATGACCTGCCCTTTTTCTTTACCGTTTACCTTTAAGTAACCTAATGGCCTGAACACACCAGACACAATTAAATGTCAGCTGTAAAATTGGAGCACATGAAGTCTTGGCACTCACTGAAAATGCATTGAGCCGGTTTTGCCACACAGTTCACTGCAACTGTGCTTGTGTAGCACCGACCGAGGTAGACCATTGGTCTATTCTGGTTAGACTTTTCCAGCAATTTGGCTGCAATGTCATGAGCCAGGCAGGAAGAGAAAAAATGTATATTAAACCTGATTTGCAAGGTAAACCAGCCAGATTCTTCCATTGGGAAAGATTCTAAGCGTATAGAGCAAGTGCAGCAGACTTGAACATAATCAATAAACGGTGTATTTTATCGATGTTAGGAGCTCAGGAGAACAGAAAACGTAGGAGTAAA